ATGTGTCCATCATGTGTCCAACATGTGTCCAACCTCCTACCCAGTAAGTCCTGTCTGTGTCCAACCTGTGTCCATCATGTGTCCATCATGTGTCCAACATGTGTCCAACCTCCTACCCAGTAAGTCCCTGTCTGTGTCCATCATGTGTCCAACATGTGTCCAACATGTGTCCAACATGTGTCCATCATGTGTCCAACATGTGTCCATCATGTGTCCAACATGTGTCCAACCTCCTACCCAGTAAGTCCCTGTCTGTGTCCATCATGTGTCCAACATGTGTCCATCATGTGTCCCACCTCCTCCCTGTCCACACCTGTACCGATGCTCAGAGGGACAGACTGTGAACCTTTGTCCTCCTGCAGGAAGAAGGACAACCTGAACATGGAGGACTTCCAGTGTCTGTCGGTTCTGGGTCGAGGACACTTTGGAAAGGTACTGTAAGTCCAGAACCTGAAAGTGTCTGTGAAACCCTGACCCGGTACTCAGGACCTCTGTTCTGGTCCTGAACCAAGGTCCTGCTGGCCGAGTACAAGAAGTCAGGGCAGCTGTTTGCCATCAAAGCTCTGAAGAAAGGAGACGTGGTGACCAGAGAGGAAGTGGACAGGTGAGTGTGTCCTCCACAGGTCAGCTGAGAGGTTCTGATGGTGGTTCTGATGGTTCTGGTGGTCCTGCTGTGCTCAGCCTCATGTGTGAGAAGAGGATCTTCGAGGTGATCAACGCGGCCCGCCACCCGTTCCTGGTGAACCTGCAGGGCTGCTTCCAGACGGAGGAGCACGTGTGCTTCGTGATGGTCTACTCTCCAGGAGGAGACCTGATGAAGCACATCCACACCAGCATCTTCACCGAGAAACAGGCCCGGTACACAACCCGTCCAGAACCCGTGCAGAACCCCAGCAGGTGAACAACATCTGACCTCCTCTTGTGTTTGAAGGTTCTACTCCTCGTGTGTGCTGCTGGCTCTGGACTTCCTGCACCAGAACCACATCGTGTACAGGTGAGAGGCTGGACCCTGGTCCTCACAGGTTCTGTAGAGTCCTGCTGCATCCTTCTTGTCTTCTGGTGTGTGTCAGGGACCTGAAGCTGGACAACCTCATCATGGACGCTGACGGCTACATCAGAATCGCAGACTTTGGTTTGTGTAAAGAAGGTAAAGTTCTTCTTCTGCTGGTTTGAGTTCAAACCTCCAGTCTCTGCTGGCTGACCTCCAACACTTCTTCAAACMCACTCAGTCAGGAGCTGCTGGGAGTCAGGAAGTTCCTCCACTCAGCAAAGAAACGGAGTACAAAGTAGAAAACTTTTATTTTGAAAATCTCTGAGTCTGTCCAAACGAGTCGGTTCTTTTGTGTGCAGGAATGGGTCACGGGGACCGGACCTCCACCTTCTGTGGAACCCCAGAGTTTCTGGCCCCGGAGGTTCTGACGGACAACAGCTACACCCGCAGCGTGGACTGGTGGGGGCTCGGGGTCCTGCTCTACGAGATGCTGGTGGGGGAGGTCCGTAAGAACTGAACAGAAACACCTGAGGTTTCCCACCTGGATCTTACCTGGTGTCCACCATCAACACTAAAGCAGAGGGCTTCAACCCTGGACCTGGTCCTGGTCCTGGTCCTGGTCCTGCTTCAGGTCCTTTGGTTCCTGCTTCCACAACTCTGACTGAATGATTGACAGGTGACTGCAGCAGGTGTGTTGAAACACTTCAAACATGGAGGACGGTGGACCACCAGGAGCAGGACTAGGACCAGTTGAAGACCTCTGATCTGAAGTTTAAACCTGTAATCTAGAATAATCTGTAAAAATCTATAATATGTAATAATCTGTAGTAATCTGTAATAATTTATAATAATCTGTAATCTATATTAATCTGTAATAATCTATAATATGTAATAATCTGTAGAAATCTGTAATCTATAATAATCTTTAGTAATCTGTAATCTATAATAATCTTTAGTAATCTGTAATCTATAATAATCTGTAGTAATCTATAATAATCTTTAGTAATATGTGATCTATAATAATCTGTAATAGTCTGTAGTAATCTGTAATCTATAATATGTAATTTATAATCTGTAGTAATCTGTAATCTGTAGTAATATGTAATCTTTAATATTCTATAGTAATCTGTAATAATATATAATAATCTGTAATGTGTATTAATCTATAATAATCTGTAATCTATATTAATCTGTAGTAATCTACATTAATCTGTAATCTATAATAATTTGTAATCTTTAATCTATAATCTGTAATAATCTTTAATAATTTCTAATAATCTGTCCTCTCTGCTGTCTTCAGTCTCCGTTCCCCGGTGATGATGAGGAGGAAGTGTTCGACAGCATTGTGAACGATGAAGTGCGTTACCCTCGCTTCCTGTCTCCAGAGTCCGCCTCTTTGATCCAACAGGTTGGTTCGTACTGGTTCTGGTGGGTTCTGTTGGGTTCTGCTCTCCTCACTGGGTTCTGTGTTCCAGCTGCTGCAGAAAGATCCGGACCAGAGGTTGGGGTCCGGAGAGGACGACGCCTCGGCCATCAAACAGCATCGATACTTTCAGGTGAGAATCAAACACCTGCTGTGTTTCTGACAGGAGCGCTGATAATCATTAGTAATTAATAAGTAATAACATGTTTGAACAATAATTAATAAACAATAAGTTAATTATTAACATGTTTGAACAGGTTATTAATAAACTAAGTTAATTATTAACATGTTTGAACAGGTTATTAATAAACTAAGTTAATTATTAACATGTTTAAACAGGTTATTAATAAAACTAAGTTAATTATTAACATGTTTGAACAGGTTATTAATAATCAATAATCCATCATTAATAACGAGCTGGTTGTTGATCAGGGCATGAGGTGGGACGCTCTCCTGGCTAAGAAGGTGAAGCCCCCCTTCCTGCCGCTCATCAGGGGGCCGCAGGACGTCAGTAACTTTGACGAGGAGTTCACCCGTCTGAGGGCGGTCCTGACCCCCCCGAGGACGCCGTGCGTCCTCACCGCCGAGCAACAGGAAGTCTTCAACGACTTCGACTTKTCTCTGATTGGCTGAGAGCGGGACTGAACGTGGACCTCTGGACTGGATGTTTACATGTAAACAAAGAAACAAACAAAGGCTGGAACAGAAACTAATTTATTCTGTTTACAGCTGGAGGTAAAAAACACTGCAGGACATTATTGCTTTGAGTTCACAACATAAACAAATAAACAACAACAACAACAGCTGTAAACACAAACAACACTTATTGCTCTCAGGTGGACCGGGTCCCAGCAGAACCTCTGATTCACTTCCTGTTTACAAGTTCTGTTCAAACACCTGAAGATATTTACAGCTGGTCCCGGTCCTGATCCTGGTCCTGGTCCTGGATCTGGATCTGGTCCCGGTCCGAGGGAGTCGTGTTTGTTCAGGATTGTTTACAAACTTTAACTTGTTGTTTTTCATCAGACGCTGAAAAGTTTAAGAAATAAAAATGTTTATTTTAATAAAAATATTTGATTCTTTTAATAAATAAATATAAAATCATCTGAGCTCCTCTTGTCTTTAAAGACCAGAACCAGAACCAGAACCAGAACCAGAGCGGCTCAGATTAGATTTCCTGAAGAAAAGATTTAATCCAGATTAGTTCCAGATTAGGATTACTGATCCACAAACAAACAGGAGAATAAACTGGTTCTGGTCCTGGTCCTGGTCCTGGTTCTGGTTCTGGTGACCTTTGTTCTACGACGAGGAGCTGATCCTCTGATCCAGTCTCAGACCGGGTCAGGTTCTGACCCACTTGGGTCCTGGTCCTGGAGGTTTTGGTTCTGATGGATTGTGGGTCAGGACTGAGTTCTGGTCTGATGGGTCTGATCCCTGGACCCAGGTCAAAGCCTAAACGGGGTCGCTGCCCTCCCTGAAGTAGACCTGCTCCCAGACCACGGACCCCCACACGCAGAAGAACCCCCACAGGTTGAGCAGGGTCCCGCGGTCGAAGGGGTTCTGCTCGGCGCCGCAGTGCTTCAGGTAGGAGATGCGGTGGCGGGACATGAACTCCCAGGTGGTGGTGTTCAGGGAGACCAGGTACAGGTGAGACCCCAGCAGGAGCAGGACCACCAGGGCCAGCAGCACCAGCAGCACCAGGACCACCAGCAGGACCCCGTTGGACCGCAGCCACGGAGACAAGCCGGGGACCAGAACCAGGCCGGTCCTGAGGGAACAGGACACCTGTGAGTTCTGACCCCGCCCCCTGACCCCGCCCCCTGACCCGTACTCACCAGGTGATGTGCAGGGCCCAGACCAGAACCAGCAGCTGGACCGCCAGGTAGACCACGAACCAGCGGTGGTTCTGCTCCCCCACACAGTTCTCGATCCACGGGCAGTGATGGTCGTACCTCCGCACGCAGTGATGACACGTCTGACAGTGCTTCGACCTCATTGGCTGCTGCTCAGAGCACAAACACACATCTGTGATCTGATTGGCTGCTGCTCAGAGCACACACACACACAGCTGAGATCTGATTGGCTGCTGCTCAGAGCACAAACACACAGCTGAGATCTGATTGGCTGCTGNACACACAGCTGAGATCTGATTGGCTGCTGCTCAGAGCACAAACACACAGCTGAGATCTGATTGGCTGCTGACTCTGTGACTCTGGGACTGATCAGAGGTTCTGCGGGGCTCGGTGCAGCTGACAGTATCTTACCTGCAGCAGACAGTGACCACAGCGGCGCTGACGCAGGGATTTGGACCCGGGGCCGATCATGTCCTGCTGCTCCTCCGACACCCCCAGACTGAACTGAAAGAGACCACAGGTGTGATCAGAACCAACAGGTCCAGAAGTTAAAAGCTCCGCCTCCTCAGGTGAGTGGTTCTGAATCCAGTCCTTCCTGTTTGTTGTGTGTCTGAGTGGGCTCAGAGGTCTGGTCCAGGTCCTGACAGACCTGCAGAACCTGATCCAGAACCTCTACAGTACTCTGTACATTTAGGAACCGAGGACTGGATCAGAAGTTCTGGACCAGGACTACAGGTTTCCTGTTGGAYCCAGCAGACCCGGTCCAGACTGACCTGCAGGTCTGGGTCATCAGACAGGATGAAACCCGGGTCCATCAGGGACACAGTGAAGTACAGCAGCACCGACACCAGAACCAGCAGGACGAACAGAACCGGCTGCACCAGCTGACCCGTCTCCTCCTGCTTCCTCAGCTCTGTCGGAACAGAACCGAGCTGAMGATCAGAACCACAAACAACGAGCCGTCCGAACCGGTCCGGATTGTCAGAACCCACCTGTATCGTGAAGGAAGAGGATCAGCGTTACGACCCACGTCAGAACCACATGAGCCGTTCTCACCAGAAAACCCGAACCGAACACATTCTTGAACATGGTCCTAGCATGTTAGCACCTCCATCGGAACCTTCAGATGGACCGGGGGGAGGGGGGGGCACCGAACCACCGAACCACCCGCTAATGTTGTTAGCAAAACCTGACGGAGACGAAGCACTTATAGGATAATTTCTCTGTTATTTTAACATTTATTCTTCATATAAATCTGTATTTATCAACGGAATGAGTCAAATACTGAGTAAATGATCCAAAACCGGAGAAATGTGAAAGATTTGGGTCGAACCGTCAGTATTTGGACAGAAACCGTTAGCCTTCCTGTGGATGTGTTCAGTCTGATCAGTGAGCAGCCTGATTGGTTAGCGGAGGTCACGTGACTGCTGAACACCAATCCAGGACGAGAGGCTGCTGTGACGCAGCACGGCGGCCGCCATCTTACTCAGGGAAGTCTGGAGAAATTATCCAAAACAAGTAAAACATCCGTTCAGTTAAATGTTGCTTGTTTTGGTCATTTATTTATTTAATTATAATTTTAATTTATTTTATTTATTTGGATTAAAAGAGAATAAAAAGTACATTTCTAAAACAAAATTTAAATAGTATTTTATTTATACATTATGTTCCATTAAATAACTTTTCTAAACCAAATATATTTATTTAATAAATAAATTTATATTGTAAGGCAGAATAATAAATATTTTAAATCTTGAGGTCATTTAAATAAATTTTAATGATTTAATACAAAATGTTCTCTTTTCCCAGAGTTAGAAATTATATCCAAGACATTTTAAAACTAATTTGTAGAAAACTTTATTGATTTCACATTGTTGTTGAATAGAAAGACAGTTTGATAAAAAATAAAGGTTGTGGGCGTGGGCACAGGTAAACACCTGCTCCAGGTGTCCTCCTGTCTCCACTTCCTGTTCAGATGTTCCAGTTCTCTCCTGAACTTTTCTGACTCTTCAGAACTTTGGAGGTGTTTTCATCCAGAACAAAAGGAGTTTGGAGAGTTTTGCCTTTCAGCAGGAGCTCCAGGCCCTGAGGACGAACCATTTCATCTTAAAACAAATGTAGTAAATCAGACATTTAAACGGTTTATTCAAACACCAGGTCTCTCACCTCTCCAAAGTATGAAACCAGAGGAGAAACCTCACAGATTACAGGATGTGATGATTCACTGAGGAAAGTATTTCACATTTATACTTAGTTATAAAAACACAGAAATTCATCATCATCATGTTTTATATCAAATAATTTAATCTTTTTAATCTAGAAAACATCTGTAGTAAAACTGTACATTTGTGTCGAAACGTTTCTGCTCAGAGGTTTAAAAGAAGAAAACTCCACCTGGTTTCAGGTCCGATCACATTCCCGTCTCCATCCAGCAGCGAGGCTCCGGCAGCACAAAGCCAGCGGCGGTGCTGATCCATCAGGGCGGTCCTGACCGAGGTGGGCGTGTCCGAAGCTGCTCCGTCTGCGTTCTTCAGAGGAGCAAACTCATCTTTCCTGATGACCTCGAACACAACAAAGTTCCTGACAAACAGAAACATCTCAGTTACAACAAAACAACCTGACTCGTTAACATCAGCTGAAGTTACGACCTGACTCGTTAACATCAGCTGAAGTTACGACCTGACTCGTTAACATCAGCTGAAGTTACAACCTGACTCGTTAACATCAGCTGAAGTTACGACCTGACTCATTAACATCAACTAATAATACAACCTCACTTGTTAACATCAGCTGAAGTTACGACCTGACTCGTTAACATCAGCTGAAGTTATGACCTGACTCGTTAACATGAGCTGAAGTTATGACCTGACTCGTTAACATGAGCTGAAGTTATGACCTGACTCGTTAACATGAGCTGAAGTTACAACCTGACTCGTTAACATCAGCTGAAGTTACGACCTGACTCGTTAACATCAGCTGAAGTTACGACCTGACTCGTTAACATCAGCTAATAAAACAACATGATTAGTTAATATCAGCTAAAACATCCTGACAGGTCAGTTGAACTCAGCTCAGGTAGATGCTGATCAATGTTTACCTGGAAAATGGAAAAACATCAAAAACAAACTTCTCCATCTTGATGCCGTTRGCTTTAGCTGGTTTCAGCTGATTTCCAGCTGAGTCCACATATGGTACTTTCTTTATGGCTACATGTTGTTTCAGCTGATCTTTAAATTTCCTGAAATAACAAACAAAACAGAAAAGAACAGAAAATCAAAAGATTCAACAGAAATCAGACTAAATTCAGACACAGCTGAATAAAGACAGTTATTGAAAGGTTTAATTTATTTATTTTAGCTACAGTTTATCAAACTTAGAAACTGCACATTTTAGCCTTCACTACTTTTAGCATTGCTATTGTTTTGTTGCTTTTAGCTGCTAGTTGCTAATGTTTTTGTTCTTATTTTTAACTATTGTTCCTTTGCTTTTAGCTTCTGTTGTACTTTTTTTAGCTTCAGATAGGTTCATTTTAGCTTCTGATAGGTTCATTTTAGCTTCTGATAGGTTCATTTTAGCTTCTGATAGGTTCATTTTAGCTTCTGATAGGTTCATTTTAGCTTCTGATGGGGTCATTTTAGCTTCTGATGGGTTCATTTTAGCTTCTGATGGGTTCATTTTAGCTTCTGTTCTGCCTGTTTAAGCCTATCTTGCTTATCTTGCTTGCTTTAACTCTAACAGTCAGTTTCAGCTACTTCAGAAGATTTCGGCTGTGCTTTAGCTGTCAGACAGCCTTCAGGGGTTCACTGTGTGTTTTATTTTGGCGGTGTCTCACTCTGCCACTTCCTGCAGGAAGGTCCTGCTGAAGAAGTGGTTGCAGATGTTTCCAGCGCTGTAGACCAGTTCTCCTTCAGGACCTCGGAGAGAGGCCGTCTCCGGCTGGATCTCGCTGTACTCCACCACCTGAGGGACCCCTCGGACCCTGCAGACCACCCCCACCGCCTCCGCAGGGTGGGCCTTCTCCACCACCTGAAACATGTCAGACAGCTCAGGTGAACACTCCCACCTGGTGGGATCAGGGGGGGTCTGGTGGGATCAAGGGGTCTGGTAGAGTCAGGGGGTCTGGTGGGATCAGGGGGTCTGGTAGAGTCAGGGGGTCTGGTGGGGTCAGGTGGTCTGGTGGGATCAGGGGGTCTGGAAGAGTCAGGGGGTCTGGTAGAGTCAGGGGGTCTGGTGGGATTAAGGGGTCTGGAAGAGTCAGGGGGTCTGGTAGAGTCAGGGGGTCTGGTGGGATCAGGGGGTCTGGTGGGATCAAGGGGTCTGGTGGGGTCAGGGGGTCTGGTGGGATCAAGGGGTCTGGTAGAGTCAGGGGGTCTGGTGGGGTCAAGGGGTCAGGTAGAGTCAGGGGGTCTGGTGGGGTCAGGTAGAGTCAGGGGGTCTGGTGGGGTCAGGGGGTCTGGTGGGGTCTGGTAGAGTCAGGTGGTCTGGTGGGGTCAGGTGGTCTGGTGGGATCAGGGGGTATGGTGGGATCAGGGGGTCTGGAAGAGTCAGGGGGTCTGGTGGGATCAAGGGGTCTGGAAGAGTCAGGAGGTCTGGTAGAGTCAGGGGGTCTGGTGGGGTCAGGGGGTCTGGTAGAGTCAGGGGGTCTGGTGGGATCAAGGGGTCTGGTGGGATCAAGGGGTCTGGTAGAGTCAGGGGGTCTGGTGGGGTCAGGGGGT